CCGTTCGTCGTCGGTCGGTCGTGTCGTCGTAGTGTGTGTGTGTGTGTGTGTGTGTGTGTGTGTGTGTGTGTGTGTGTGTGTGTGTGTGTGTGTGTGTGTGTGTGTGTGTGTATGTTTTTCTGTATAATTATATAAATGTGTGTGTTTGTTTATCTTTTCTTTGTTTTCTTTACGTCTACGTATATGCACTTGTCTACGTATATCTCACTACAATACCTTCGGGACATTGCACCAGTGATTGCATGAAGGACCGGGTATGCATATGTAGATGCATGTGTGAATATACACATGCGCATGGAATTCGTGTATCCATTATACACACCACATACATTTGGCAGGGCAAAAGGAAAAAGCTAGACCCGTCTTTATATGCGCCTACAAATATCAAGGGATTGATGCTGCGCTGGTAAATACTAGTGGACTTTTAAACCCCTATAACCTTATCCATATAGCTATGCTATTTCGCATAATTCGGTACGTAATTGTTTTCTGAAAATTAGGGAAGGCTTGCATTCGCAATAGCCTGTAGTACACTAGTGTTCTGGCTGTGACCTATGTAGTTCACGAGTGTATATTTATTTGCGGCACAAATCGAAGATGTATATACATATAGATATTACAGTCCATGCCAACATAGAAATTTTATTTAATTAAATGTGAAGAGGTCTTTGGCGTTTCTACGATTTGTCAGAAATACGTTTAGTTTGTACATAGTTTCTGTTCCCCGTGTTCATTGGTGGCTCATAACTCTTGGATGCATTCTATTTTTATCCTATAATTCTGATTGGCAGAGACACTTCGGGAGATATCGTTTATTCAAAGTTATGGACACGATCTGGCCCAAGCGCACGAGTGGATGCAGAAATACTCCATCAGCAGAGATGAACGGGCCATGAGTAAGGTACGGAATACGTTTACTTAAACTTGCACACTTGCATATGAGTGTACATACGCACGGAATATATTAACATATACACCACCAAAAGATGTAGACACACATACACACGTATATACACATGTACATATACATGTATACATATATATATTTATATATATGTACATGACGCAAATACATAGACTTATATATACATATATATATGCACATGTACATATACACATGTATATGAGCACACACATACGAACCACATACATATCCTTTTACATAGGTCATACATAAATGAGTTTACATATACTTTTACATATGACATGTATCCATACACCTTACGTACACGTGTAGATACACCCGTACCCACATCGACCTCTCACACAATCTCCTAAACCCTAACCCTGAAACCCTACTGTATCGCGCATCACCCACGCACAGGCATGGGAGTTGTACTACCACGTGTTCAAACGCATTGCAAAGCAACTGCCACAGTTAACGTCCTTAGAGCTGCAGTATGTGAGTCCAGCCTTGCTGGATGCCAAAGATCTGGACCTGGCGGTCCCAGGTACCTACAAATCAGGACAGGACGTGGTATGTGCGTGCAATGAGTCTGTCCGTGTGTGTGTGTGGAACAAAAAGATATGATGAGATATATGTGAGACTGTATGTGAAGGAAGAATTAAGCTGGAGTGTATGTGTGTGGAACAAAAAGATATGATGAGATATATGTGAGACTGTATGTGAAGAAAGAATTAAGCTGGAGTGTGTGTGTGTGTGTGTATACGTGTGTGTGTGTGTGTGTGTGTGTGTGTGTGTGTGTGTGTGTATGTGTGTGTGTGTGTGTGTGTGTGTGTGTGTGTGTCGTGTGTGTGTGTGTGTGTGTGTGTGTGTGTGTGT